ATGCCATCTAGATTCATCGAATCACAAATGCGTCTCGAGGCCGACGCCCGCGAGATCCTACCATACGTGAGTCGGTCTCGTCCCCATTGCGACGACGAGCAATCCTCATCTGACGCCATCTAGTCCTTTGATTCTTGCACACAAGCTCTAGGACCCCTCCGACAGATCCTGTTTGCCTGTCTCACATGCAACCCTCCCTCCGATAAGCCAGATGCACCACACACTTCCGCAGGCATCTGCTATTCCTGCTCTATCGCCTGCCACGGCGAACATACACTCGTCGAGCTATTTAGTAAAAGAAACTTTGTCTGCGACTGTGGGACAACGCGCGTGTCATCCGGCCTACCCTGTACGCTTCGGAATGACCCCAAGACTGGTGCAAAAGGAGTTCGCGCCCAGGAGCCAGCGCCGGAAAACAAATACAACCACAATTTTCAGAACAGGTTCTGCGGCTGTGTCGAGGACTATAATGCCTTCGAAGAAAAAGGAACAATGTTTCAGTGTCTTGGGCTGGGTACGGTCGAAACCGGTGGCTGTGGTGAGGATTGGTGGCATCCGGAGTGCCTAATCGGTTTACCAAGAAACTGGTATAAGAAAGCAAAAGTTAAGACGGAGGATGTCGAAGCCGCGAAGCAGAATAATGAGGCGGATGACGATGACGATGAGGATACGCCTCTGCCCCCGGGATTCCCGGCTGAAGATGACTTCGAAACATTCCTGTGTTACAAGTGTGTCGAATCAAATCCGTGGTTGAAGCGATATGCAGGAACTCCAGGGTTCCTTTCAGCAGTCTACAAGGAGGGCGGACTGTCAAAGGGCTCCGAAGAGCAGCACACAGGAGCAGAGCCTTCGGATGCGTCTTCCGATCCGTTGACCAACACTAAGAAACGCAAGGCGGACGACGATGACACAACAGAAGCAAAGGAGACAGCCGAGCCAGCTGCAAAGCGGACAAAGGCAGATATCGATGGCGAACAAATCCCTACAGAATCAAAGCCAGAGACTACCCAGCCCGCACCCCCAAAACCCAAGCACGATTCCCTGCCTAACCCACCCCCATCCGGAACATTTTCCCTCTTCCTCAAAGCAAACTTTCGCGAGCACTTCTGCCGCTGCCCAGAATGTTACCCCAACCTAGCCAAATACCCCCAACTCCGCGAAGAGGAGGAAACATACGAGCCCCCTCTCTCGGAGGATGGCGAAGCCAATGGCGGAGGCAGCGCCGGAACTGGCAGTCTCTACGACCGCGGCGAGGCAGCTTTGAGTAACATCGACCGTGTCCGGGCTATCGAGGGTGCGATGGTGTACAACCACCTCCGTGATAAAGTGAAGGAGTTCCTGAAGCCCTTTGCGGAGTCCGGGACGGCGGTCAGTGCGGAGGATATCAAGGCTTACTTTGAGAAATTGCGTGGCGATGAGAAGCCAATCAAGGATGCTGCTGCTGGTCAGGCCTCCGTTTCTTCCGGGAATGGCGGTAACGAGAAGGACGAGGGAGGAGATGGTCGCAAAGAACAAAGTGGTATGTTTCGTTCGGGAATGTCTGTTGACTCAGGCCTTGTTGCTGACTCCTAGCAGGCTACTGAGATTACGTCGTCTTTCCGGCTCAATTTTAACATTGAATTGTATTTTACGAAACGCAGTAATGAAATGGACATAGGAATGGGAATCGGTAATGGCACTGGGCTTTCATTAGGCGCTTATGGGATGGAAGGAATGGATGGAATTTGTACATCTAGGCACCTATCAGCGCAAATCAACGATGTCTTAAACTGCGAAATCAGAAAACTCCATAAGACGCCAATCCATGCATTAAATGGTCTATGAGAAGGAACCTAAACGCCAGTCACATGCTTGAGCTCGAATACCAGAAGAGAAAATATACGCAAATCATTCTTTGAGCCGCTTTGCGGCCCTACCCATGAGACTATCGTCTGGCAGCCCGCTCCGCTTGGTGCCGGGTAAACTGCCGGTGCGGATATCGTTGTCATCTTGAGTGACTCGGCGGTGGGGATATTTGCCCTCGTAGCCCGCGAAACAATTAGCAGTGACTGGAGTACCTGTAGTGAAATACGGATGCTCTAACGCTTCCCGGGCTGAAATCCTCTTGGTAGGGTCGTATTCGAGTAGCCGCGATAGCAAATCGAAGCCTTCAGCACCCGGTGTGCCTGCAGCAGACGCTGGAGAATATCCATTATTCTTCAGACAACTTTGGTACCATCCTTCCAGATTGCACTGTCTGTTGAGGTAACCTCTCGACATCGCTAACGACTGAAGTTGGGAGAATTCAGGCATCGAAACGAGACCGGGCCATGTTTCCTTTCTGGGCAAGCCCATGATGTCGATGATTTTCATCATCTGGTTACGCTGGAATGGTACTGTCTTTTTGCTGTCCATCTTAGCTTCTTCCCCTTTGAAGATGGGTCGCAGAGAGAGCAGTTCCGCGAATATGCATCCAACTGCCCAAAGATCCACGGCCGGCGTGTAGTGCCGGCTGCCCATTAATAGCTCCGGAGCACGATACCAGATCGTGACGACAACTTTGTCTCCGGAGTAAAGCGAGTTGAGCGGTTTGTAAAATAGACGTGCGAGGCCCAGGTCTCCAATGCGGACCGCACCGCTCGAAGTCACTAGAATGTTTGCCGGCTTCAAATCTCGATGCAAAACCCAATTCGTATGAAGGTATAGGAGGCCATTCAGCAGCTGAAATAAAATCGACTTGATCATCGGTGCCGGGATGGCATGTCTTTGCGGTTGAGTGTGGTGATGGATGATCTGAAGCAGGTCATGCTCAGTGTACTCGAATACCATGAAAATACACTTGTCTTCCAAGATGATCTCTGCCAATTGCACTACGTTGGGATGATCTAATTCAGAGCATAAAGCCATCTCCCGGATTGCCGACTGCGAGAGACCTGTGTACTGAATGATTTCACCCTCTTTGTCGGGCTTGAATCTGATTTGGTCAGCCGCTATAGGAGAAACTAATGGAGATGAAATGACTCACTTCTTGATCGCATATTCGCCTTTCCGGCCATCCTTTCCGATGGCTTTGTAGACGCGACCATATGTACCGCTGCTGATGAAGCCAACGATGTGATACTTATCCCGGACCCGTACTTTGCTGGTATACCCAGTTCCCGAGGGTCTCTTCGAGTCTAGACTTTCTTTAAGCAAAGAGTCAGCATGTTGAAGAAACCTGGATGTTCATAGTATATACGCTTGAAACTTCAGTTGATTCTTTTGGGAAAGCAAAGAACAGGGGTTTATAAAAAGGAGGCAGATGGGTCAATGGAGGAAGTCTCGCAGCAGATTGATGAACTCATTGGAAAGGGCCTGCAGCAAATCATGACAGGCAGGACACTGGATCTAGCTTAAGAGGGAGATTACCACGTGGATAGAACCCGCCGATGGAGTTAAAGAATGGGAAATTTCTTCCAAACATGATGGGCAAGATACAAAAAAGCCGCAGTGGAGCTCAGCAGCCACAGCTCAAAAGGCCTTTTATCTTTTCATCTGCAACAAAGCTTAAATCTCTCCCAGAAGACAGCAGCACATGAGAGGATTCCCAAAAGGGTAAGAAGAAAGTAGAAGACGGAAAAGATGAACACTTAAGAGAGCCGAGTGGCAAGGAGAACAAATGGATGTAAAATAGGTGACAATATGATATTAACCGGTATTACCATCAACAGCGGCCTGTAAATTCCGTTTCAGAGACAGATTTTGGCTGACACTGGCCGCAGCGGACCGAGAGGATGCAGTTAATGGGCCGGATGATGAAGGCTGGTTTGTCAGACTCATGGATGGACAGATTGGCGTGGAATAGCAAAGGGCCCGAAGGTGGAGGTCCGGAGTATCTCTCGGTAACCGTTCAACTGGGGTGGATATAGTAGTGTACTAGGATCTCCTCATCAAAAGTCACGGTCGCAGTAGTGGCATGGACAGTGCACATTAGGATTCTTGACTGCCTGTCTCCACAACTACTAGAAACGATTGCATGCAGAAATGATGATGAGGTTGGGCTTTGAAAAGACAAATAGCAATGGCAGTTGAGTATGTTGATGATGCATTGAGTGATCCATCTGGGTCTCTAGGCCGACTGTCCCTGAACTTTCCCCCTCTTTTGTTAGTCAGCAGGCACATATTGCTTTTTTCGCCCAAGTCACTCTCGCTCCATGAGAGATGCATTTACGATGATGGATTTGCTTTCTTTATGACTATTGCTGAATGTCTGAATTGTCCTGCATAATTCCGTGGTAGTGTCTTCGGCCACGTTGCATTGCTGATACTGATATGTGTCGGTCGTTGCTAAATTGCGGTCTCCCGTGTTATACTCCAGCGTCCGCGGAGTACATACTTTGAAGGCGCTGCTAGTCTCGGGACAAAGCATTGATGTGTTATTTCACCGACCTCATAGGCTGAGAGTATGACTTTCTCTCCTTATACGTCTAGAACTGTCTTGTTTGGCTAGACAATGTCCATGACCTGAATTAGCACGGAGTTTCCTTATTCCGAGAGTACGTAGTCTAAGCTTCCACGACCCCTTACAACGTCATCTGCGACCAACGCACTACTACTACTTACTATGGAGTAGTAGGGTCAGAATACTTTCAGCTTTGATCTCAATAATACAATGGTTCGATATTATTAACTAATTCCTACCTCGTGGCTCCTGCTATCTCGATCTAGCTACCTGAGTCAGATCAAAAGTCACACCAACAGACCAACAGACCAGTAGCATTATGAATCCCGCTGGGCTGACCCGTTCCAGGGTCACAGCATACCTAGTCTATCTCGTTTTTGTTGTCACACTAGGGCCGCTTCAATTTGGTTATCATCTGGTTTGTGCAAAGGGATCTTGGATTGCTTGACTCCTGGCCGTTACTTACTGTGGACTGAAACAGGCCGAGCTTAATGCCCCCCAAGCTGTTATTACCTGCCAGCGAAAGAGCATCCATTCTACCGCTTCAGCATTATTTAGGACTCTGCCTCAATGTATTCCAATGAACCCTTCCCAATTCGGTCTGGTATCCTCCATATACACCCTCGGTGGTCTGCTAGGTGCCCTGCTGGCAGGGCCCGTCTCCACTAAACATGGGCGACTGTTCGCCTTGCGAGCTACAACAATTTTCTTTATTCTGGGCCCAGTATCGGAAACATTTGCACCCAGTATACCGATCTTGAGTGTCGGTAGGTTGCTGAGTGGTGTGGGCGCGGGTGCTGCTATTGTCGTTGGTCCAATTTATATATCCGAGATTGCCCCGCCCAACGCGAAAGGGTTCTTCGGCGCCTTTACGCAGGTTATGACCAATGTAGGTATTCTATTTACTCAGACTCTCGGCTACTTTCTCAGCAAAGGAGATCAATGGAGGGCCATACTTGCCGTGGCTGGGTTGCTCGGGGTTTCGGAACTCCTTTGTCTATTCTTCGTACCGGAAAGTCCCACTTGGCTGGCTGAGCATCAACAGGCGAGCCTGGCCAGACAGGTGCTGCAGAGAATACGTGGGAAGGATGCAGATATTGAAGAGGAGATTGAAGGATGGAAGAGCTCTGAGAGGCCCACAGGACCGGAGGAGGAATCACTGCTCACCCCTCCTGCCAGCAATTTGCCGCCTAAACAGCCCCCAGTTACGATTCTGCAAGCCGTGACAGACCCATACTACCGTCCAGCCATCGTTGCTGTCATCGGAGTCATGGTGGCTCAACAGTTCACCGGCATCAACAGTATCATCATGTATAGTGTCTCGCTTCTACAGAGTCTCCTTCCCACGGCAGCGGCTTTGTTGACCGTGATGATTTCGGCCATCAACCTGGTCATTACTCTTGCCTGCTCACCTTTGCCTGATAAGATTGGCCGAAAGGCGTGCCTTCTTCTGAGCATCTGCGGCATGGGCTTCAACTCTGTCTTGCTGGCGCTCGGAATCTATTTCAACCAGAAAATCTTGTCCGCAATAGCAGCCTTGTTATTTGTGGCCAGCTTCGCGGTTGGATTAGGTCCGGTGCCTTTTATCTTGGCCTCTGAACTAGTCGGTCCTGAGGCTGTGGGTGCGACGCAGAGCTGGGCGCTGGCGGCCAACTGGACCGCCACGTTCATCGTGGCTCAGTTCTTCCCCGTGCTTAACGACGCACTGGGCGGCCGTGGTAAAATCTACTGGATCTTTGCGGTACTGGCTTGCCTTCTTGGAGGCTTCATCTACGGATGGGTGCCTGAGACCAAGGGCAAGGCCAGTTCGGATGAGGTCTGGGGAAGGGAAGACTCGAGACGGAGAGACTAAGGCCTTTATGTTTCATCTATTCGGTAGTTACCTCTTGAGTACTCGTTTACTTTAGCCAGAAATGGACACTTTACATCTGAATACCCATTTCATTGTCATGCACCGGTTCGGAACGGACCGAGGCAATATCTAGCGCTGAAAGTACTTGCGTCATATTGGGCAATCGTCCGCATTTAGTTCTCCTATGATTGATGCTCGTTAGAAGGCTATTGAGCTACTTTCGGTTTGGCTGCAGTTACCCCGCCTTATTGCATCTTAACTGTGCTGAGTTCCCTAGTTGACGTTGGGATGGTTGTAAAACTAGTGGTAAACAAGATCAAAAGATAAGGTATACTATGTACTGCGTAGTAAGGTCAAAATGTGGTGCGCAGTGTCATACTGACAGGAACAACTCCACCGAGCCAGAGAGACTGTATGGGTACCTATACCCCACTGACCCGTCACTGATTATGAGGGGAATAGTGGGAGTCAGTCTCGTGGGAGAAAAAGGTCAACTAGTCATGCAAAAAGACGTCAAGCGACTTGAGTATGTTGCACTGGTGCACACTAGCATGCATAGGAGGAGTGTCTTGAAAGTTTGCCTCTTTAAAACATGAGATATGGTAGAGGAGTAGGCAGCCATATTCAAGAATAGCCTCAATTCCTCATTGCTCAACAGCAACGGTCATGGTGGGGTCCCGACGTGTGATTGCCCAGTGCTTGTTGCGCTGTGGGTGGATCAATGTTTGATCTTCCCACAGCTCTACTTTCTGTCACTTTCTATCCCTTGCCTGTTTGTTGTCTGACCTTGACGTCTTAAAGCGTAACCCCGAGTCTTCCGGCAGGCTCGAGGTATGTAAGTAAATTTTAGCTTCGCAGCTTGCAAAATAGATGACGATTTAATCGGATTCACTGGAAAAATGGCAATTGTGAATCCTTTTTCCTCCATGCTCGATTTTACAATTCTCCATATTATTCCGTAGATAGATCCTCTTTCTACGCCTCAGTGCGACGGTCAGCTAGAGAAGGCTCAAGCCCCCACCAAGAAAACAGAAATATAGTACTCTCCGTACTAACAGTCCTAGTACTCCTAGTACTTATTGTTGTTCTCCTTATTTTTTTTCGAGGTAGTTTATCAATCCCCTATTCATGCTCTCATCAACTTTCTTTCTTTTCTTTTACTTCACGTATTCATCTTGACTCCCTTAGATCAAGGTGGCAAGAACTTCAATTGCATTCTCGTCAACATTTTCATCCTTTTTCTTCTTTCGCAATCTAACATACATATTGTGGACTATTGTGGTGGCTCCCGTTTCTTGGTGTGAAACGAAACTCTGATCGACCCGACCAGATCTAAGATCAATCCGGATTCAACCACACCGCGACATCCTCCGGTCGGGGACGGTCCTGCAAGCACCCATTTGCGACTCATTATATCGTCATTTTTTCCCTAGGATCCCTCCCTAATATCATTGTTACAACATCCTAGAGATCATCTCCTCTGAGACATTAAAATATTCTTGGGGTCGACGCGACGTGTCCTCCGACTGCCATCTTAAGCAGCTTCCCCGCAATTTCCGCCATCCACCATGGTGCGGTTACCGTTGCCTCAACGTCTCAGCTCCCATCTCAGCGTGAAGAGCAATGCTTCGACTCCCGGTCAGAGCAGAAGCACAAGCCCAATGAGATCAACTGAGACAAAGCCGTTGGTCCTCAGGGTTTCTGCAATTAGGGTGAGCGGACCTCTTCTCCAGCCTGGAACTTCTACTGGGCTCCGTGGAATGCCACTTCCGGAGGCTAACATCTCAATTTGAACAACATCAGGGCAGAAACCTTGCTGCTAAAGACCGAGGCGGAACCAGTGATCCGGTGAGCTCTGTCAATGGATGCCACAACTGAGGATAGGGCTAATCAGATTCCGTATTTAGTATCTAGTTGTTACTCTCGGAGACTCAAGACAATCGACCCCCACGATACCGAAGACATTAAATCCGGAATGGAACGTGACTTTCGAGATGCCGGTGATTGGTGTACCTTTGCTGGAGTGTATCTGCTGGGATCATGACAGATTCGGGAAAGATTACTTGGGCGAGTTTGACATCCCCCTCGAAGACATCTTCGCCGATGGCGAAATCAATCAGCCGGTGAGTAAGGAGGGTATATTAGCTTAGAGCATGACCGTCAGCTGATCGTCTGTCAAGCCTAAATGGTATACACTCACGTCGAAGCGGAAACCAGCCAAGAAGAAGGACAGCACCGTGTCTGGAGAGATCCTCCTTCAGTTTGCGCTGATTGACCCATCCAACGTATCGGCCCCCCCGAGTGAGATATACCAAAGGTTCAGGAGCTTGGTTTGCGCTGGCGAGGAAGATGAGGACCTCCCGCAAGTCCCGACAAACGAATCGGATGATGCCGACAGGGACGAGGAGACCTCGGACGAGACCGACGACCTGACGAAACCAGACATTGTGGAAAAGAGGAGGAAACGGCTCCGGCTCGCTCGCTTGAAACGGAAGTCACTAGCAGCCCGGGCGTATCAATTTTCTGGGGCCGGCAATGGAGTGCAGGGTATCATGTTCATGGAGATTGTGCAGGTAACAGATCTTCCGCCGGAACGGAACGGTATGTCGCTCGACCTCCATGGTCTAAGACAGTTGCTGATTTAGATAAGTGACACGTACTTCCTTTGACATGGATCCATTTGTCGTGACCTCGCTTGGACGGAAAACGCTCAGGACTCCTGTCGTTCGTCACAACCTTAACCCGGTCTACAACGAGAAGATGGTCTTCCAGGTCATGAAACATGAACAGTCCTACACGATAAGCTTTACTGTCATGGATCGAGATAAGTTTTCCGGCAATGACTTTGTTGCATCGGCTGGGTTCCCGCTACAGACCTTGATCCAGGCTGCTCCCGAGGCAGATCCGGAAACGGGGCTCTATCGGCTCCGTGATCCATCACTTAGCCCAGCAGGTTCTGTTACAAGCTCTGTCGGTAAATCAGGATCCAAGTCTGGTGTCAGTCCTTCACCATCGACTCTCAGTCTTTCAAAAATGTCACGGCCCGGTTTAGTAAGGTCGAGAAGCTCTGCTGCCTCCCTGTCTACGCAGTCTCAATCAGAGCAGCCAGCTACCTCTCCGCCCACCAGCGTTCCGGAGGAAAGAGAAAGCAGCAGCAATGTTTCTAGCGCTCCTACTGCTACTGGAGGCGAAGTGGGTCAGATGGACTCGCATGACTTTCAAGTGTACAAGATCCCTTTGACACTAAAGAACAAGGAACGGTGGGAGGACAAGCACTCTCCAGAGATTATCGTGAAAGCGAAATATATGCCCTACCGTGCGCTGCGTCAGCAATTCTGGAGACTCATGCTCAAACAATATGACGCTGACGACAGTGGTCGAATCGACAAGGTCGAGTTGACAACGATGCTTGACACTCTTGGCTCGACCCTGAAAGAGTCTACGATTGACAGTTTTTTCCAACGATTCAGCGCCGGAAACGAGCCTGTGGAGACTGTGGATCTGAGTTTCGACCAAGTTGTAATGTGTCTGGAGGATACACTGCAGGCGCTGCAAAAGGTCCCTCTCGCCAATGCCAACATGCAATCTCTGACCCCGTCCTCAAATGGCAGTCAAAGAAGCGAAGAGCAATCTGACGGTGACGAGTCCCCCCTAGAGACGAGCACAACACTGCCCGCCAATACTGATCCTGGCACAACATCCGTACCGACATTAGGCCAGGAAGAGCAAACATCCACAAGCGAGGAAGATCTCCATCCCGATGATCTTGGTGATGAGCGGGGTGAAGAGCATGTTATTGAGATTCGGGAATGTCCTCTCTGCCATCAACCGCGGCTCGCTAAGCGCTCCGATGCGGACATTATCACCCACATTGCTACATGCGCAAGTCAAGACTGGCGGCAAGTTGACAACCTTGTGATGGGTGGCTTTGTCACTTCCAGCCAGGCGCAACGCAAGTGGTATTCCAAAGTTATCACGAAGATATCTTACGGTGGCTACAAGCTAGGCGCAAATTCCGCCAATATCCTTGTTCAAGACCGAATTACAGGACAGATCAACGAGGAGCGAATGAGCGTTTACGTACGCCTGGGTATTCGGCTCCTTTACAGAGGACTCAAGAGCCGGGAAATGGAGAAGAAGCGAAGTAAGTTACTGTCAAAAGAAACATCCCGGGAAGAATTGAAGGTTAACCAAGCTACAGTTCGTAAGATCCTCAAGTCGCTGAGCATCAAACAAGGCAAGAAATATGATGATCCGGCTTCCGCAGCTCAGATTCGGGACTTCATCAACTTCCATCAGCTGGACATGTCAGAGGTTCTGCTACCCCTTGAACAATTCAAGACATTCAATGAGTTCTTTTACCGGCAACTGAAGCCTGGCGCACGCCCTTGTTCAGCTCCGAATGAGCCGAGAATCATCGTATCGCCTGCTGACTGCCGATCGGTTGTTTTTGACCGCATCGACGAGGCGACCAGTATCTGGGTCAAGGGCAGGGAGTTCTCTATTGAGAGGCTTCTCGGAAACGCGTACCCGGAGGACGCTCCGCGCTACAAGAATGGAGCCTTGGGAGTCTTCCGTCTGGCTCCTCAGGACTATCATCGTTTCCATATTCCCGTTGACGGTGTTATGGGTACCCCGAAGACTATCGAGGGCGAGTACTACACAGTGAACCCGATGGCGATCCGTTCTGCACTTGATGTGTACGGTGAGAACGTAAGAATTCTTGTACCGATTGACTCGGTCGCCCACGGCCGGGTTATGGTAGTCTGTGTAGGAGCCATGATGGTCGGAAGCACGGTGATCACTCGGAAGGCAGGCGAGAAGGTCGCCCGTGGTGAGGAGCTTGGATACTTCAAGTTTGGCGGAAGTACTGTGCTGCTCCTCTTTGAGGAAGGCGTGATGAAGTTCGATAGAGACCTGGTCGATAATTCTAGGGGTGCTTTGGAGACTTTGGTGAGCAAAATTCCCTTGCCAATTCCTGATAGCTGTTTTGTCGACCT